AACCTATTAGGTTAGAGTGAGAGGTACAACTACATTTATTTGTGTTTGAGAAGAAAGACCATCTCATGATAAAATTGTCATCATTATCTTCTGTAGTGGAGCCCAGTCCAACAAACTGGGGTGTGCCTGGGAAGCCTGAGGAGGGTGCATCTACAGTCTCTTGCCCTCCTGCAAGGCATGCATAAAGATGCAAACTCTGTGTCTCCTCCCCACTTTCCTAACAGCACTTCAGCCATTTTACAAAAGAAAGATATCCTCCCCTGCCACAACACAACTTGAAATGTAAAAACTTCCAGGGTGGCAAATAAAGGAGAATTCAAAATCAAAATTAGAGTTATTATATTGGGGGGGCTTATCTAATGATGAGGTACATAATTTTTTCAAGTTTCTTATTGGGAGGCATGCTGCAAGACGCATTTGATGACTACAGGTACAGAAGAAACAGTGACGTGTAATGAAGAAAGCATGGATTTTAGTCAGATACATGTGGGTTCATGTTTTGGCTTTATCTCTTGGGCCAAGTTAATTGCCTTCTCTGAACCTAGGTTTCCACATAATTAAATTGGAGGTCACAATATTTCCTCTGAGGACAGGCATTAGAATTAAATGATGAGATATGTAAATTGCTGGCACTAGTACTAGTCAATATCAGTGCCATTCCCCTACAGTCCCAGCACATTCTCCATGGCTGCCAGATGGTGTTCTAAAAATTAATGATCAGGCTATATTTTTAAATTACACATTCATGAACTATCCTTCTGCGTAACAATTACTAAGGAAGAGAATGAACAGACCCCTGTCCCATAGATAGCTGCTAGCAGACAGACATGTTGAAACCCAGCACGCTCTAGTATAAGAACAACTTTGCAGCGGAGAAATGGAACACAAAAACTGCAGTGGAAAGTCTTTGGTGGGTACTCTGTGACGGGATGTGTTGAAATGGTACCGCACCTCCATTCTTCCTTCACAAGCCCAAAAACCCAGTCCAATTGGGAGAGGGTTGATTAAGCAAAAAGCAACTACAAATATTGATCAGTCCTCTACAAAATTTTTGCCAAGGTCATAAAGCCAAAGTCTAAGCAGTTGCACAGCCAAGAGAAAGTGACCAGCTTTGGGAGATGATGCAAGGCGGCAGTCAGGGACAAAAGACACCATCTGTACTCTCCTGCCTGTTTTCCTGTAAATCTAACATTATTCTCATAATGTTGATTACTACTTCTCGGCTTTGATCTGAGAATAAACTGTTGAGTTGGATGAATTGTTCTACTTTAACAGTTAATTGTCCTACTTTATTTTTTAGAACAATTTTTAGACTTAACAGAAAAAATGAGCAGATACTAGAGTTCCCATGTTACTGTTTCCTATTATCAATCTTGCACTAGAGTGGTACATTCATTACAATTAATGAACCAACACTGACATGTTATTATTAACTAAAACCCATGGTTTAAATGAAGGTTTGTGCTGTGTTGTATGCAGATCTGTGAGTTTTGACAAATTGACAGTGACAGAATCATACAGAACAATTTTACTGCACTAACAATCTGTGCTTCGCCTACTCATCTCATCTTCCCCTTCCCAGCCCTCTGGTAATCACTTTTTTTTTTACTGTCTCTAGTTTTCCTTTTATCAGAATGTCATATAGTTGTAGTTATAAGATATATAGACTTTTCAGACTGTTTTTTTTTTCCACTTGGTAATGTGCACGTAAGGTTCCTGATGCCTTTTTAAATAAAATTTATTTATGCATACAAGAACTGGGATACAGGCCAGAAGTGCCGGGTAGGTGGTGGTTCACCAGAGACAGAGTGGGGGACAGAACAGGCAGATCTAGTGAAATATACTGCTAAGGGGAGCAGCAGGTGAGACAGGAGAGGTCTGCTGTGCCATGTGGGCCACCTCCCTGGCTGGGGATCAAATTCGTCCTGCAGTGCCTGTGGAGAGCTTCATAATCTGTGACTTAACTCCCTCACCACCTGAAAGGCCCTCCTGGGCTTGACAGCACATTTATTTTATTGCTACAATCTATTTACTGCGTGGATACTGCACCTGAGAATGACACCCCAGCTGTCTCCAGTTTTTGGTGATTATGAACAGAGCTGCGTATAGACAGCCCTGTGCAGGTTTCTGCATGGAGATGAGTTATTTAGAAGTATAATGTATAATAACCAAATATTTTGGAATTTCCAGGTGTGTCTCTGCTACTGATTTCTAGTTTAATTTTATTATGGCTCAAGAGCATACTTTGCATTTCTGTTCTATTATATTTGTTCAGATAGGTTTTATGAACTAGAATGCGGTATCTATTGGTAAATGTTCCATGTGTCCTTGTGACAGATGTCAACTAGAGCCAATTGTTTCAAAGTGCTTTTCAGTTTAACAGTATACACTTACTGGTTTTTGCCTGCTGGATCTGTCAGTGACTTGATAGGGTGTTGATGTTTCTAATTATATTAATATGTATATATGTTATTATATAATAATATATTATGTGATGTTATATATGGTTATATATGGATATAGAGAGTGGGTACATATATTTATGAAATAGTGGGTTTGTTTGCTTTTTCTTACTGTTCTCTCAAGTTTATCCCTCTGTCTCTTTGGAAACCACTTTTTATTATTAAGTAATACCCTTTTATGAAGGATGGGTATTCTTAAAATATTCAATAAAAATTCACTGATGAACTCACCAGACTTCTTCATGGGAAGATTTAAAAATTACTAATTCAACTTCTTTGAATTAGTAAATTGACCTATTCATACTCCTATTTCTTCTTGAGGTAGTTCTAGTGATTTGTCTTTCTATACATGTGTTCATTATGTCTAAATTGTTTCACTTGCTGACATGAAGTTGTTTATAGTACCTCTGTATAATTTTATACCATTTTCACTCCTTGTTTTGATAACACATATCTTCACTCTTCATTTCTTGGTCAGTCTAGCTAATGGTTTCACGATTTTGACCTTGACAAAGAACAAAATTGTAATCTCACTGACTTATTGTTTTTCTGTCTGCTATTTTATTACTATCTGCTCCAACCTTTATTTCCTTCCATTTGTTTGCTTTGGATTTTGTTTGCTTTTCATTATTTAGCTTAAAGGGGAAAATCTAGGTTATTAATTTGAGGCCTTTTTCTTTTCTGATATTGGTAATTATAACTAGCTACACATTAAACATTACTTTAGCTGTATTTCGTACATTCTTACATTTTGTATTTTGTTTTCAAATATTTAAAATTTTTTTGCTATTGTTTTTTTTCTTTGACCTATGAATTTTAGAGTGCATTGTTTCATTTCCAAATATTTTTGAGTTTCTCCTGTTTTTTTCTTTTCCTGCTGGGGATCTTATTTCCATGTACAAAGAACATACATGGTATGGGTTCAATCTTTAAAAAGAAACTTGTATCGAAACTTGTTTTGTGGCCTAACATATGATTTATTATTCACTTGGAAGCATTAAAAATATAATTTGAATGTTTTGAACAAGCATTTTTTATGATGATATCAGTCATGTACCATAAAATTCAACTTGTAAAGTATACAATTCACTGTTTTTTAGTGTGCTCACAAGATTGTATAAACATCACACAATCAAATGTCAGAACATTTCTTTACAGATTCCCAGGAGAATCTGTAGCTACCAGCAGTTAGTGTATGTATTTTCCCTTTAATCCAGGCAGCCACTACTAGGCTATTTGTCTTTATGGATTTACCTATTTAGGACACTTCCTATTAAGAGAACATTAAGTATGTGGCCTTTCGTGTCTGGCTTCCTCACTTGGCATCATGTTTTCAAGGTCCATCTGCACTCCAGCATGTTCACGCCTGTTAAGACTGACTAATATGCCATTGTGTGGATGCACCACATTTGTTTATACATTCATCAGCTGATGGTTGTTTATGTTATTTTCACTTTTGGGCTATTAAAAGTACTGTTGTTATGAAACTAGTGCAGTTTTTATCGGGTGTACATTTTTTTAAGAAGTATATAATCTCTGGGATATGAGTTAACTACCTGTTACTCAGAAACCTAGGGAGAGAGAGAACATGCTGGAGAGAGACAGACAGGGAGAGACAGAGACTGACACTATGTGTCTGTCTTTCTCTGTGTGTGGCCAACCCAAGTTCCTGAATATTTACAAATAGTCTCTGGGTATAAGATGAGGCCCTTAGGGCTGAGTCAACTCTTAATAGCTTAGCTCTACCCTACATACTTCAGTTTCCCTGGCTACATGCCTTACCTTCTGTTCTGAACCACATGTAATGAGCCCTGCAGGGTGGGAAATGAGCCATGACATTCATGCCCAAAGAAGCCAGTACACATGCACACAGTATATATTCCTGTTATGCTTTGGGGATGAAAGGAAAAGTGATATGTATCATTTTGTGATGCAAGAAAAGCGATAGTGAAAATCCTGCTCTCAAGTTGGGGGAACAAAAATCATCCATCAATCAATGGATGTGATGATACCCAAATACTACTTTGGTTAGAAAAATAATCCCACATAAACTCCCACTTTTCTGTCCTTTGGGTCCTAAAACTTTCATCACTGTACTGCAGTGCATCTGTGGAGGAAAAGCATGTGGTAAGCCAGATAGTTATTCACCAGCGTCCTCTACTTTTATTCCTGGCTGTCGGTTCAGTTTTGGCCTTTCTCTGAGACTGCATCTTCCCACTGCCTATCACTTGACCCTGAAATGGTTGTGAGGATTCTTCCAATCTTCCTTCAAAACAAGAATCTGAACACTCTTTGTCACCTAAAAAGGGAGAGTGTGGCAATGTTTCTTTACAACACTGTAATCCCATTCTGCATAAAGATTGTGAAGGGTAAGAAACAAATAAAGGAAACCAAGGGGTAAAAATGTTCTCCAAGAACAGGCACTTCAGATGCAGGACAAAGAGAGTCAATACTTGACTAAATGTTGGCCTGATTTGGCCAAATGTAACCACATATGACATGCTCAGGCATACGTTTAAAAGACAAGATATTCTGTACCTGCTTGTTGAAATATCCTCAAAAGGGTAGAGAATCTCTCCATTGTTACAGATTTCACAGATGAACCCCTTCTGGCTACAAAGACTGCAGCTGTACACGTGTGAGGTGGCAAATTTAATGACCTTGCCCAAGAATGGAGCCAGCTTCCCCTCTATCACCTGCAGAAAGAGAAATGGGGCAGGGAAGTCAATTCATTGAGAACAGAAGTCTTGCAGACGCAGGAGGACTGGAATTCCTTTCCTTCACACAACAGGAAAACCTCTAATTATAATTTCTCAGCAACACTGAGAAAGAAAAGACATGGTATTTTAGTTCCAAAAGAACTCTCTAGCTTAAACCACTAGAGGTTGGAAAATGAGGATGTTGAAACTTCTTTTTTATTCCTTTTTCTTTGCATGGTATAAGGGGGATGAGGAACAACAAATGGAGACTCTTCTCTCATAGACCAATTGCATAGTTTTGCTGCAATATAGAGGAGTGTGGTGGATTTCCCAAAAGTAGACTGGAAACATACTGGGCAAATATAACATATAATTTTATATAGTATAAAAGGTAGATTTTTTTTTTTTTTTACCATCTCCTTTAAGAGCATGAAAGATATGGGGGAAAAGCAGGTCCTTTGCTTTTGATAAGTCTAACAGGTTGCAATTTGGCAACCCAAGGCCCATGTCCAGACTGAACTTTTTTTTTAATCTCTTTGTCTTTAAAAAAATGAGCCAATTTAATAATTGGAGAATTGCACATAAAAATCTTTATGTTTGGCTTCTTTTTGAAAATCACTATATTCAGCAAAATGAGGCCTGACTTCATGATGAGGAGCCTGGCTCTGAGGAGGGATCACTCACTCCCATGAGGCACCACTTCTCCAGTGACAGGGGACCCCAGCCCCTACTGAATGCATCTGCCTGCCCCACTGTCACCTGCTGGCCTGTGCACATGCCTGACCCTCTCACTCAACCAGCAGAGCATGTGGCTCAAAGACATCAGCAGTTCATACACTGACAAGATACACTCTGCCTTTCTCTCTCACTTAGGAACACATTCCTGTATGTGCTGATTTAAATAGAATATGAAAAATTTTATTTGGAAATAGCTGGATACTTTCAAATGAATACACAAGGAAATGTCAACTTTACATACAGAAGGGAATGATACAGAAGGGAAATAGAGTGAGTCATACCCAGAGAGAATGCCGGTGTGGGTGACACGAGTGCCAACATGAGTGAGTACTAGGGACTGAGCAATCAAGCAAAAAGACTACCAGGGATGTAATGATATAGCTTGCTCAAAAAAGAAGCTAACCGGGCCCTCCCTCGTGGTGAAAGGGGTTAAAGCTCAGCATGGTGAAGTTATGAGCAGCCACTGCAGCAGGAGTTTGATCTCCAGCCAGGTTGCTGACCCACATGGTGCAACAGACCTCTCCTGTCCCACCCACTGCTCCCCTCAGCAGTTTATTTCAGTCAGGCAGCCTGTTCTGCCCCCCATGCTGTCTCTGGTGAGTCCTCTCATACTCCACACCTCTGGCCTGTACCACAGTTCTTGTATGCATAAATAAATAAACCTTAAAAAAAAAGAAGCTAAATGTACCAGTAGAGATAAAAACTGAGGTGGTTTTCTTATAGTGAAACGATCTTGTGTTTTAAAAATGAAAAGTAGAACACTTTCTCACATTATATGCAAATATTAACGTGGTTTAAATAGTTGGCCACAAGACCAGAAACCACAAAAATCATAGAGGAAAACACAGACAGAACACTCCAGTCTTTGGGGACTTATCTCCAAAGGCAAGGAAAACATAAGCAAAAATAAACAAATGGGACTATATCAAACTAAAAGGCTTATGTACAGTGAAAGAAATTATCATTTATAAAATAAAAAGATATCCTACTAAATGGGAGGAAATATTTGCACATCATACATCTGACAAAGGGTTAATATCTAAGAACTCCATTGTACACATAGAACTAAAAAATAACCCAATAAAGAAGTGGGCAGAAGAGCGAAACAGACAGTTTTCCAAAGAAGACATACAAATGGCTAACAGGCACATGAGAAAAAGCTCATGATCACTTATCACCAGGGAGATGCAAATCAAAGCCACTATGAGACACCACCTTGCACCTGGGAGAATGGCCCATATCCAAAAAACAAGAAACAAATGATGGCAAGTGGGTAGAGAGAAAGGATCCTCGGTACACTCTTAATGGGAATGTAGACTGGTCCAGGTCCTATGGAAAACAAGAGTTTTTAGTTTCCTACAAATATTAAAAACAGATCTCCCATATGATCCAACAATTCCACTCCTTGGTATTTACCCAAAGAATGGAAAAACACTAATTCTAAAAGATGCGAGAACTCTATGTCAACTGCAGCACTGTTTACAATAGCTAATTTATGGAAACAACCTAAGTACCCAAAACAGATGAATGGAATACTACTTGGCTGTAAAAAGAGAAGACTTCCTGCCATTTCTGAGAACATGGATGGAATTGGAGGGGGTTCTGCTCAGTGAAATTAGTGAGAAGGAGAAAGACAAACACTAGATGATTTCACTCATGTAGAATATAAAGAAAACAAAGGAACAGACCAAACTAAACCAAACAGACCCTACAGATAGTTTAACTAGAGTTGAAGCTCCTGGAGGGGTTGGGAGAAAGTGGGGACAAAGGGAAGGGCATTGTGGTGGTGGGTGTGATGTGGTAAGAAATCTGAAGCAATGTAAACTTATTGCCCTTAAAGTCATGCAGTTTTGTAAATCAGTGTTATTAAAAAAAGAATACAACAAAAACAACAAACTAAAATTCTAGGGAACAGAACCAGTTGGAAAAGCAAGTCTCTTATTACTTTGTATATAGTTTGTTTTTGCTTTAAAAAATTTGTACTACTGTTGCTAAGATATAGCTGGTGAACAGAAGATTGGGCTTTCTATTTTATAAGAATGGCCTTTCCTTAAACGGGGTGGATATTATATAGGCTGTTTTTTGAGTCAAGCAAGCAAATTTTCCACCATTCTTTAACTTATTCTCCTCCACATTACTTTCAGAAAGTCATAAACAGACCATCTTTAATTTATGTTTTCTCAAGGACCATTAAGTCCAGTAAACCCCAGTAAAGTGCACTCCTAACACGGGCACATGATACACACTTTCTAAGAAATAACCAAATCATACACTCACTGACCCATAAACACTTCCCAATGTGTCATAGAGTTATTGTGGTAACAATACTTAAGCTGAATTTGGTTTTACTTATTTTACTCTTCCCTGAGCAACCAAGATTAATGATACATTTAAAGAGAGAGGCACTAACTAGTCTTTTTAGGGCAAAACATGAGGACAATCTGGAAAACAGGCAAGTAAAGTGTGTTTGAAGGAGTTGATGAGAGTAAAAGATAATAAAGACATGAATGTTATGATCTACAGTCCTACGGGGGAGGTTGGATGTCTTCACATAACATTTTTAAATAAATTTTTGGGGAAAGATTTATTTATTTATGCATACAGATGCATTTATTTATGGGTACAGGCAAGAGATGCATGGATGGTGAGAGGTTTCACCACACACAAAGTGGGGAGCAGCGGGCGGGTCAGGAGAGGTCTGCGGTGCCCTGTGGGTCACCTCTGGGGCGGGGGTCAAACTCATGCTGAAGAGGCTTTAGCCTCTTAGTGCTGTGCTTTAACCCGCTGTGCCACCAGAGAGGGCCCAAGAACTTGAACATTTTGAGGACTTTTGTAATACTTCACCCAATTTACACTGCAGCAATGGATATAAATTCATATCTAGAGACTTTAATAAGTTTTTACAAAAATTTAGAAACATTATCAAATAACCTGATCTATAGCTTCCTTTTACTAAATCTGCATTTTTTATTGTTTAACATATTCCCCCTTCATATAATCCTCTCAAATTTTATTATTTAGTTTATTTAAGGTTCAACTTCTGTATATATCTATATATATATTTTTTAAAGATTAATTTATTCATACAGAACTGGGGTACAGACCAGAGAAGCTGAAGGTGAGAGGATTCACCAGGGACAGAGTGGGGAGCAGAACAGGCAGATCAACAAAGTACACTGCTGAGGGGAGCAGTGGGCGGGTCAAGAGAGGTCTGCCGCACCATGTGGATCTCCTCCGGGGCAGGCAGGGATTGAACTCATGCGGTAATGGCTTAAGCTTCTTAATGCAGTGCTTTAACCCGCTGTGCCACAAGGGAGGGCCCTGTATATATATATTTTAACTACTGTTGAAGTATTAGAATACAAGGACATTTGCGTTGAATATTGAATCATCATTATTTTTATTAATCAAATTGGTTATTCTAGTAGAAATAAGTAATACTAGTTGATTTTAATAGTTAAACATAAAAACATTATAATGACAACTAACTCAAGAATACTTGACCAGATGCTACTATATAGCAAACCATCGCTATTCTGGATGAATTAAATGCTAGTAATTTTTAGATGATTTGTTTGGGTTTTTTGAAAGTAATTACTTGGTCCACACCTTTCTAATGTTATACCTCTTGTTCATGTTTCATATCCTATTGCATTGTCCAACACACCTAAAGCATTATTAAATAATGATGACGTTACTGGACATTTTGTTCTTTCAATGAGAAACAAACTGGAAATTAGGGACTCTATCGTGAGTTGATTTTAGCCATTTAAATGCATACATCTTGTCACTCACCATATTTATTCATTATCTTTTTGTTAATAACAGCTTTATTGAGACCAGGTTCACACACCTATTTAAAGTTTACATTTGAACAGCTACTAGTTTATTCAGAGCTGTATATTGTTACCACACTTAACTGGAGAACATTTCATCAACTGTCCCCCCCAACCCTGTGCCCATTAGCATTACACCCCTTCCTCCCACCTCAGACTGTCCCCTCAGCCTCAGGTAAAGAATGATCTACTGTATGTCTACATAGATTTAACTACCCCATACACTTTATGTAAATGAAATCATACAGTATGTGACTTGTTTTGTGACTGGCTTCTTCACTTAGCACAAGTTTTCAAGGCTAAAGTTGATTTTTTTTTAAAGATTTATTTATGTGTACAAGAACTGGGGTATAGGCAAGAGGTGTGGGGGGCAGATCAGGTGATTCACCAGAAACAGAGTGGGGAACAGAACAAACAGATCTG